GATTTGCCACTCGACTTTGATGCTTTAATTTGTTTGACTGTTTGAGTTTTGTACGTAAGAGTGAGATTAAAGGAACAATGATTGAATTAAACTTAAATAAGGATTGAAAAAGTTAAAAATTTAAAATAAGGACCAAAGATTCTTTAGTGAATTGACATCAAAATTTGTTATTCTCATTTCATGATTTGCACCGTAACCTTCACAATAAAAATTTACAAGTGAGATTCGCTAATTTGTAAAAGAAAAAATTGACCACAAACATATTATTATTAAACATAATTTTTTCTTTACAAATCAACGAATATTGCAAATTCATGTTTTTTTTATGGTTGCAAATAAGGATATGAGAATAACAATTCATTAGAAGTAGTTATATATTTGACAAGTTTTTTCTTTACAAATTAGCAAATATTATTTGCAAATTCTTGTTTTGGTGGTTATAAATCATAAAATGACAATAACAAATTTTCAAACCATCTCACTAAAGCATTTTTAATCAGCCTTATTTTATTGACCACATGGGAAGCACGTTGGTTTTTCTTTATTATATTGGGTAGGGAGGCAGTCTGCACACAAAACTTTGGGAAATGCTTTGGGTGCTTATGAGAGCTTGGAATTTGGATTGGAGGAAGGTTGAAGTTGAAACAGATTGTGTGGAGGCCATTGTTGAGTTGATTAATGATGAAGAGTTGGACCATCATCCTAATCGTGTCCTCATCAGTGAGATTAGAAGCATGCTAAACAAAGATTGGAATGTAAATATTGTTTGGTGCAATAAAGATGCAAATGTGGTTGCAAAACATACTTGCCAAGGAAGCTCTCAAGCAAGTACAAGGCATTATTTTGTTTTCGAATTCTCTAAATTGTATTACTGAGTTTTTGATTTTTGACTTAAGGGTTTGCAGTGTTTTGCCATCGAAAAAAATTTGCCTTATTTTAAGTTTTCAAATCCTTCAATCTTCATATAAGTTTAGTTCAATCTTCTAGTCTTCTATTGTCATTCCCCTTTTTGCATAAGTGATTGTAAATATACATAATAATCTATTATATTAAAATAACTTAAACGCCTAAATATAGGGATAAAGAATACACCACTAAACAATATTTGGCGTAAATTAAGTATTATTAAACCTCGAATTAGAGGATCAAATTTAAGATTTCACGCATGAGAATATTTTTCATTAAAATCAGTGGCTGTTGGTAAGCTTCTTAATTAATTCTTAATGAATATTTAAAATGAAAAGTGGGGCATGATGAATAAAATATGGGGAGGAGTATAAAGTACACATATCTCCAAAACAAGTGACAGAAATTAAAAGGGCACAACACTTTCATAGATGCTCAACATTATAAAATTATTATAAATATGTTAATCACTCCAAAAACTTGGGCAAGCTTCATTTGTTTTTGATCCAATCTATATAAAGCAAAGAATCTACAATCCAAAAGTCACAAGCTGAAACGATGCACCATTGTGATCATAATGATTGCTTCATCAAGCCAATTATATTTATATACTATGTGCAGGTGCAGTGGTTCTAACCCACTCAGATGTGACGTGTGTCAACTTTATTTATGGCAAATTGCTTCAATACCTTCATCATCGTGCCCCTAATATTTTATTCAACTCATGTCTAATCCAGAAGTAGCGACTCAAGTTGAAAGTAGCGTTATTGTTTTTTTATATAAAAGAAATTTAGAATGGAAGATTAACATAAAAAAAGAATGATAAAAAAATTTAAAAGAATTAATTAATTTAAGTTGAGTTTTAAGTGTTAAATTTTAAAAATTTACAATTCAATCTTTTAATTTTGTAATTGTATTGTAATGAATTTGTAACTTATTTTTTAAATTTTAACATGGTTGAAAAAAATTATTTTTGTTAAAATTTAAAATATAAGTTATAAATTTATCACAATAAAATTAAAAAATTAAGAAATTGAGTTGTAAATTCTTAAAGTTTGACACTTGAGATTTAATTTAAATTAATTGATCGTTTTGGACCTCTCTGTCATTCTCTCATTAATATACTATCCAATCCTTATTACTATACAACACATTCTAGAAATATTTTTTCTTTGATATAATGTATAATATGGGATATTAATTATATTTTTCAATATTACTCTTATTTAAATTTATTAACTATAAGAGGAAATGTAATGTAAATTTAAAAAAGTTTCATTTAAATAAGGAAAAAATAAAAAATATATTCTATTTTTAGAAAAAAGTTATTGACTTAACTACTTCTCATTCATTCTAATGAGATAGCTAAATACTCCGTTCATTCAAAAATGTAATGCATTTTTAATCAAATCTCATTCATCAATAAAGTGATTATCTACTTTTAAACTAATCTTATCTTTTAATATTTACTCCTATTAAACATCCTATAATAAATATAAAATCACTATTAATAGGGGTATTTTTTTAAAAAAGTAATGATTATATATCGAAAGATTAAAAATATCTTACATTTTTAAACATTCAACTCCTTAAAAAATATCTTATATTTTTAAACGGAGGGAGTATGTCTTATAATAAGATTGAAGGATTATGATATAAAAATGAAATAATAGTAAAGAAGGATCTCAAAATTGATTTAATATCATACAAATATTTTTAACAAGTAAATATTAAAATTAACAAGTTCAAATTTTAACAATTATCTTATTCTAAGTCTTTGTCTGGTATTAAATTATTTGAGCGATCATTCATTGACATTTTTCCCGTAAAAATATAGTATTATATTATTATATTGTTATTTACTGTGTATGATGCAACATTTTGCCTTTCCTTTTATTTTTAAACTGTTCTTTTTTTTAAAAAACATATCAATCAATTGAAAATTTGCTGTACACGATGAAAAGACAGATGTGCACTTTAATGTCGCATGCCTGATTACAATTTTAGGAAATCAAAAGTTGTTTGGCCGGGAACTTTCAGAAGCCAAAAATTATTTGTATAATTATTTGTTTTTATTTTAAAAAGTCAATTTACAATGTTTTCAAAAATTGATTTGCTAAAACTTGATGTGAGTTGCTTCAGAAATTACTTTTAACTCTTAAACAACTTTCAGTTAAATTTTAATGGTAAAAATTAGTTTGAATTTTTTCATGAATAAATTTTAATTTGTCAAATTAAATTTTTTAACAAATATATTTAATCATAAATTTTGTGGTTGTAGCTAGCTTTTACCAAAAGTAACTTTGGCTAAATGAACTTTGATGAACTAACTTTTCATGATTTGAAAATTAGGGTTGCATATGAGTAGGGTCAGGTTAGACATCACTCTTGCTTGGTGCCTTGCCCAATGTGCAATTCAAGCAAGCCCACTAGATTGTTCAAGTCGAGTTTGGCATTATTGACATGAAAATATGTTTATAAGTATTTTTTTAAAATATAAAAAAAAGTTTTCTTTAAAAACATATTATCATTATCATTTAAAATGTATTCTTTATAAAACTAATGTTAGAATTAAAAATAATTTTTTAAAAGTTTAAATGAATAACAACTGCTAATTATTCTTAAATAACAATAAGTTAAAAATAAATTTTAAATTTTGAAAGAGATTTTAAAAGTTATAATGATAAAAAATGTCTAAAAGATCATAAAAATGATGCAATTTATGATAACTTTCAATAAAAAAATAATACTATAAGATAAATATTGTTCACAAAAAAAATAAAATAAAAATTGACACATGTTTGTGCCAGTCTAGGGCCCTGCCCTGTGCCCGAATGCCTTAGGAACGGTTGGATTGGCTGAGCATTTGGGCATAATGCACAGCCATACTAAAAGCTAAACACATACTAGTATTTTATTTTTTTCCTAATTAAGTTACACTAGAAACGTTTGAATATCACATCTTTCCTCACATGCGTATCCATCTTTATCACTAAAGCTAGCTTTATACTTCCTCCAATCTTAATTGTAGAATAAATTTAACTAATTTCATGGAATTCTAAGGAATGATAATTGATATCCTTAATATCATAAAAAAAATGTGATTTTTTAAAATTTTACCTCTAACTAAAATTAATGACTATAATAGCGTGTTGTTAAGAAATTAAAAGCATATATACATATCAAATGAGAGTGAGACGGATGGTAGTAGTTTAGATCTTTGAGAAATTAGTTTTGTGACTACTAACTGCAAGGATACTCTAACGGGGAAAAAAAATACATGTATGCATGAATGCTTCTATTCATGTGATGTGTCTTAATATTTCACGAAGGTTAACCATGTGTGAGTTAACCTTAATATTTTATGAAACTTCAAGAAGAGATGTTATTGAATGACTTACAAACTAAAACACTTTGTGAAATAGCTTATGTTAAACTAAACTACTTAAATTAACTTCCTAAAATCAAAGAAGAATGATGAGTTTGGTCTTAGGGTTCACTAGAGTTAGAGTGATGCATGATAATTAGAGAGAAGAGAAGGAAATAGAGAAAAAATAGAGGAAACAGAGAGAGAAGGGTACAGAAGAGGGAGAGATGAAGGTAGAAATGGGGGACTCAAGCCTATTATTTTCAAAAACTGATTACAATGGTCCCTTTGATGCCTTTTTATAGTCCATACCTAATACCCTTAAGTAACTATCCTGACTACTTGTTAACATTTTTAACTAATATTATTTATGTATTTATTATATAATATAGAGTGTGCCTCTAAACTCAAGTAACACTTATACATTGTTTATTAATAAAGTTCCCACATTAATAGTGAAATTTGATCTTAAAATCTTTAAATTATGAGTTAAATTTTTAACGGTTGTTTTGTTTTTTAATTAGGGCTGAAGAGTGGTTATTTCTTCGGACAAAACCCAAACCCAAAAATGTAGGAACAATCAAAGTTGTATGCAGACTCAATGTTTTCGATTTTGCGAAGCCCAACTATGAAGAAACAGTCAAACTTCAAAATATAAACCCAAACGTTTTGTTGGTAACTTGTTTTTTTTTTTTTTTTTGCCCCACCTTTTATAAGCCGGAAGACCCAAAAACGAAGAAGCGAGAGCACAAGGTTGCTGCTTGCTTACGCGGAGTCCCAGACACTGTTTGACTGGAACCATCCTGACCCCGAGAACGCGGGAAAACCCACTTGCTGACACCTGAAGCTCGGGAGTTCCAATGCCGGAACTGCCGGAGGTAGAGGCGGCTAGAAGAGCAGTGGAGGATAACTGTATCGGCAAGAAGATAAAGAAGGTGATTATTGCCGACGATTCCAAAGTCATCGATGGAGTCTCTCGCTCGGAGTTCGAGGCTTCCCTCTCGGGAAAAACTATCGTCGCAGCTCGTCGTAAGGGCAAGAACATGTGGCTCGAGCTTGATTCCCCACCATTTCCTTCGTTCCAATTCGGTAAATTCCTGTTTAGAACCCTAGCTATGTATGTCTCATTGTCCTTACGTTTATGGTAATTTCTTCTCTTTTAGTTTTTCCCTGAGGAAAATAGGCTTCACTGGCGGTCTGTGTGACTGCTTTCCAATTCGGGGTATAATAAAGTTTTTAACTTTTTGTTTGGGTAACTGGAATTTCAATCGATTTGCAGTGAAGATGAAAGAACTTTTTTTTTAATCAGGAGATGAGAGAAAACTTATGGTGCTGATAGAGTGATAGTTTTGTACTTTGAAAATTTTTCCCATGTTTGAGATAAAGGTAAGCTGATTCACAGGGCTGATGAAGTGCTGAAATTTCAATTTTCTGTTTCTGTCTCCTTATAGTTTGTCATCTGAGTGAGCACAGCTTACAAAAATATGATAATACTGGAATCTCAGACTTATTTGACCTGTTTGTTGAATGCCCACTCTCACACGTAACGTATTTGGACATCTCCTCTGTAATATTTGTGCAACTACTGTTCTTACCTGCCACTTGTGCGCTTTTACTTCACGCAGGAATGGCTGGTGCTATATACATTAAGGGTGTTGCAGTTACTAAGTATAAAAGGTGAGACAGTCATATGTCCTGATGAGTTACGATAAGTTTTCAAATATATATATATATACATATCAGCCACCAACATTCGATGATTTATAATCATTGCTTATTAGAAGATAATAAAGGTTTAGATTTAGAATTTGAAATAGATACAATGAATGGTTCGTTTCTCTTTATATTGCACGGTCATAGAACTGCTTTGGAGTTGAATTTTACTTCATTGCAATTATTTGATGCTGTCAATTTTTTACTGATCATTACAAATATTCCTTTAGATCTGCTGTAAATGATGCGGATGAGTGGCCTTCCAAATATTCAAAGTTTTTCATTGAGGTAAGAGCTACTGCTTCTATGAGCCGTTGAAATTTGGAGTGTTTTATTGGTTTTTCTATTTTTTAATTTATTTTGTCATTTAGATGTATAAACACTTCACATTAAATGCTCTCATAGCTCTGGCATTATATTTAACTTAATTTTGGTTGCCAGTAAGACTAAAATACCTGTTTTAAGCCATTATTTGGAAATGGACTATGTTTTGTGATTTTAGAAATAAGATCTGTATTCGGAAGATGTGAAAAAAGATTCAATTTTTACAATTGGAAGTCGGAAGAGGTTATAGTTTTGGCTACTATATTATCTTTCATGGATTAACTTGGCTACTTCACTGAAACTTAACTTCATAGCGTGATAGGAAAGTTGTTTTCTTGTCAATCAAGTGGCTTTTTATTACCGCACCACACCACCATGCAATCTTGTCAAGAGATAAGTTGTAAGTATGTGTAGCATCTATGATATAAGTTTCCTTATTTATGTTTTTGTGAATAATGAATAGATGAGACTTAAATTAATAGGCTAGCATTTTCATAATGATTGTCACAAAACAAATGCAGACCACTGAAGGTTTAATAGATGAACAGGGTTTATGTTGGCAGAGATGGAATTTTTTTGGATGAATAGTTATATTGCAAGAAATCTATGGTTTCTGTGTATTTTATTTTTTGTTGTTATAGAGCTAAAATCTGGGAGTTTTTATGCCATTCAGTTTCTTCAAGTTGATAAGGTGAAACAATTCTGTAAACTCTGGTTATAACTTGGGGAAGGAAAGGTGTCATATGCTACGTACTTAAAAATTTCATCTGTTGTTGCAACAATGTTAACTCTCACTTTTGTGTATGCAAATAATTATATTTTGTACTGAAAGGCTTAGTTTTCCTGTCTTGATCTGCACTTTGAGTTTCATGCTGGTTTTCCTATCCATTGGTTCTACCATGTTATGTATAATCATTATAATGTGCTTTCATGATGGTAGGTGATACATTCAATTTCCTTTCTACATACTTGTATCCATTGACCTTGGAATAAAGGGCATGATTGTATCGCCTTGAGAAGTATTATAATTTTGAAATTCTGATTGGTCAGTATTAATCAGATAAAATCCCCTTGTTGCAGCTGGATGATGGCTTGGAGTTGTCCTTCACTGACAAAAGGCGGTTTGCTAGAGTTCGCCTTCTCAATGATGTGCAACCCTACCTGCCATTTTCCTATGGGCATAAATATTTGTTATTTTTTTTTGGTTAAATCTCATCATTAACTCTGTCAATCTTTTTTTCTTGATATAGCCAACATCAGTGCCCCCCATATCGGAGCTCGGTCCTGATGCACTTTTGGAACCTATGACACTTGAAGGATTGACTGAGTCTTTGCGAAAGAAAAAAACTGAAATCAAGGCTTTATTACTTGATCAAGTATTAAATTCTTATCCTTATCCCTCCCTGATTCTGAGATTATAATTTATCTATCTATAATTTCTTAAATTATTTTTATGATATGAAGTATATTTGTGTCATTGCGGTTCATTTTTCTGTATTTGTTGTCTGAACTCAATATGATGTTCCATTTATACAATATATATTTTGGATGAATTAGTATTCAAACTGGAGCTTGTGTAGATAGGATTATGGTGGAGAGACTAATGAGAAACAAGGTGCGTGCTGAAAAACATGGTTTTCTTTAAGGGGCACATGTATATGAAAGAAGAAATTATATTGAGCACATGTATATAAAAGAAGAACTTATATTAAGAAAGAAGAATCATACACATGAAAATGGTGGAAGATACAAAAAATAATGAAAGTAAAGGAAGAAAATGAAAGTTAAACAACAAACATGTAGCAATGCTCCCAAATTACGTGAAAGAGACACTCCCATGGTCAAGCCCTTAGTCAAACACCTCAAAGAAGTATCAGATAATATCACAAGGAAATACCCCTGAAATATGGGCATTGAGGTCCAGCCAAATATTCCAAACAACTGTATAAAATGCATATTGCCACAAAGCTGTACCTGTTTTCTTTTTCTTTTTATCCCGTTTGAACCACATAAAAACTGCTTCAAATCCTGCGGATTTTCTCAGTTCTCAGTGTCTTCTGGGCTTGCTTATTCCATGAGAAAGCAGTCACTCGGCAATGTAGAAATAAGTGAACTTCAGTATCTGCACTATTCATGCACATATACAAATGTTACAAGGTGGATTGCTTATTGGATAATGCTAATTAGCCAAGCATGGCCTTTCTGATTTGCAGTCCCTTTATGCCTGCTGGATGTAATTTTTCTTTTGGTTTGTAGTGTTTAGAAAAATCTTGTAGATTATAACTTAAAGTCATATATTTCTTAGTATTGTATGGTAGTATGGTATACATTTCTTAATATATTGACTTCCCTATCTTTGCAGAGTTTTATTTCGGGTATTGGAAATTGGGTTGCAGATGAAGTTCTGTACCAAGTCAGTATGGCTTTCATTCCCCCCCCCTCCTTTCAATTTCTCTTTGCTTTTTACATATGTGCTAAATTGAAGTTATGATATTTCATTTTTGGCTGGAGACTTTATATGGTTTATTAAGTTTTATTGTTCTATATTCATCTGAACTTAGTTTGATTAATGACTACTTGATGGGTTAAGGAATATTCACTTGCCATTTATTGTACGTTATCCTACAGCCATATCAGTTGATCATGTTTTTACTTGCTGCTGTTCATCTCTTGTTGATTCCTTTAATCATATTTATGTTAATATGGCCATGCTTCTTCGTTTTACTTGCAGATCATTTTAATCAGTTTTTTTGGGCAATGATCATAATTTTTTTTTTCATCATGGATCTTAATGAGTTAATGAGTTTCAAATTTCCTATATTTCCAGGCAAGAATTCATCCAAGGCAGACGGCTTCTAGCCTGTCCAAAGAAAACTGCTCAACTCTGTGCAAGTGCATTAAAGAGGTAGGAAATTCTTGTTTATTGAGAAATTGTTTTAATTTATCATTCTCTTTTAAATTTAAATGGAACTTGAAGTAAAAAATATAGAGGACTAAAATCTGTAGGTTATTCAATATGCGGTTGAACTTGATGCTGATTCTTGCCGTTTTCCTCTTGAATGGTTATTTCATTTTCGCTGGGGCAAAAAGCCTGGAGAAATAAATGGTGAGGAATACTTCTCTTATGTTTATTAGTTACAAAAAATTTCATTTTACAGGTCATTGAGAAAGCAGTTGAAGTTGGAGCTGATAGTAGCCAGTATCCTGCTGGTTGGATATTTCATTCACGTGAAAAGAAGCCGGGCGAGGCTTTTGTTGATGGTTTGCTTCCGTCCTTTGTGTGAACGATTCTTAATGTATATTTCTATCATCCAGTTATTGGATGGTTTTCTTACACCTGGTTAAGCTGCAGAATTGATTTAAGAGAAAAAAATACATTTGTATCCATTCTTTTTGACCTTTTCTTGTCGATATTGGGAGATTTTTTTTTCCTCCTTCTGTTGATTGCTCTCTATACTGTATCATTGATACTGCTACTGTTCATATTTCCTAATGTGACAAAAGTTGTGAAATTTTATGTAATGGCAGGGAAAAAAATTGAGTTTACCACAGCAGGAGGCAGGGTATGCCATTCTGACGATTGCTTTTAATTGCTTCTTACATCTTTTACATGTGTTTGTGTCGTTGATCTTCTTGTGCCATTTCTTTTAGACGACTGCTTATGTCCCAGAGTTGCAAAAGCTAAGTGGGTCACAGAATGTAAAAGAAGCTGGCAAACCTAAAAGGAGAACTTTGAAGAAAAAAATGAAGATGACGAGGATGGCGGTGACACTGAGGAACCAGCAAAAGAAGAGAAGAATCTGGGAAGTCTGAAATCAAAAAAAGGAACAAAGGCTGGAGGCAAAGGCAGGAAGCAATCCAAGAAGAATAAATTGGAGGAAAGTGATGACGACGAGGACAGCAATGATGATAATGATGAGATTGGTGCTGCTGCTGCTGATGATGATAATGATCAAACTGAAGAGAAGAAACCAAACCAGGTGACAAAAAGTAAACAGGCCAAGGGCGAGAAGAAATCAAACAAAAGAGCTCATGCTAGTCAAAATAGTAAGAATGCAAAAAGGAAGGTTAAGTAGTAGCATGCTTTTGGCATGTTTAGTTGTTTTTCCATCTGCCACAAAGATACTGTGGAACAATGGAAGGAGATGATGGCTTATGCTGTTTCTGTATCTTACTGTCTCATTCTGTCTTTATATGATCAGTAGACTGACAGTGCTTCTGTTTATCATGTTTATGCTGCTGTTTTGGCCTAATGTTATTTCATGAATGGAAGGTGGTGATGCCTTCAGTTTTTGTAACTTATATTGATGTAAATGTTAGTTCTTTGTTAATCCTGTGTGTTTGCTTGAAAAGTTCCAATTTTAGCAGTGATGCTATCTTCATGTTTTATGAGTTGATATTTGAGTTGGATTAGACCTAGAAAAAAAAAATATTAAGATGTGATTACTAAGTTTTCTAATAAAGAAATGAAACTTTTAGATATTCAATTATAGTTTATTTTTGTCAGCAATAATTTGGAAGAATTGCAATAAAGGCTCCCATAACCAAGGTATTCCCAAAGAGGGTTCAATAGAATTTGATATTATTTTGCAGGTTCAAAGGTCTTGGTTGTAATTAAATTTTTTAATGAAATCAATTTATTTCTTGGTTGTAATTAAATTTTTTAATGAAATGAATTTATTTAAAGGTAAAGCATTTGGATGTAAACACTCTTTCTTGGCTACACACCCTTGTAGAAGAGGAAGGCAACTCTTTCAAAAGCTTCCTACCACAATTAAAAAAAAAAAAAGAACTTTTGAAAAAGCTACAAAAATAAAAATTAGTATTGCCCGTTGCTGCTGTGTGAGTGGACTAGAAGGGTATGGTATTATTCCTTTGATGTTCTAATGAGAGAGTGGAGGGCATTGCAAGGTTTCATTGTTGGGTTTGGCAAATGATAGTGAGAGTGGGGTGAACGACTAATATAAAGTTATATTGGCTTTTGTGTGTTGATATGTACGGAAGTTTAGGGTACATTGTAGGGTGCAAACAAAGCAAGTAATATCAAGCTTTAAAAAAAGGTTAAGTAATATGAGGCAAGTAGTTAACAGAAGAAAGATCCTTTAAATGATTCATGCGGTTTAGTGTCAAAATGTATAAGACCAATCGATCGAACAATATTAATTATTTGAATTGAATTAAACTAAATTAATTGACCAAATTGGACAAAAATTAAAGTGAATAAACTGTATATAAACTAAAAACCATATAAATGCATGGGCTAAAAACAATATAATTTGGCCAGCTTGGGTTATTTGGTTTTAAAATTTGCAAATCGAATTAAGCTAAATTTTAAGAAATTAAAACCAAATTAAACTATATACTTAAGTAGACCAAATTAAATAGATCAAATTCAATGTGGGTATTTCATAGACTCATTCTAGAATAAAGCAGCTGATCCTCTACATGTATTTGCTGTAGTCTTAATGCTATCACATTCACTTATGACTCCGAGTTTGACTGTCCTATAAATAAAATATTTCCTTTGTTTGTTTCCTGAGTTTTTTTTATTTTAATGTCTTTTTTTTTTGGAATGAATTTTGAGGTCAAATTTGGCGTAGTTTTATCATGAAAAATAGCGGGCTGGGACTAGTATCTCTGTTCTTCCTTTTAAGAGGACAAGAAATATTGAAGTGACAGCAATGGTGTTGGGTTGTTTAAACTTGTTTATAGATCGGAACCATACCAAACGGTCCCACCAGAAACGTATCGATTGGACCACTTAGCTTACAACTCTCAATCCTTTTTACGGTTCGATCATCGGTTCAAAAAAGTACGCTTCAAGCCCCACGGGGAAGCTACGCCTAATCAAATTTCGATCCACATGCTTTGTAATATTGTATATAAATTGACCATCCCCGAATTGATTGGTATACGGAAGCAACAATTCTGAAACAACGAACGAGGCCCTCCACCGCGATAAAGTATTACAGTTCTGGTAGAAAACTATTACACGAACCCGACCAACTCAGTCGCCTATCGGATTCCCCCTGAAATCTTGGGTCGCTGTCTGGGATTATCCCATTTCAATTCTTCGTCGCATGATCGTGAGTGCTCTATGGAATCGACCTGCCTTATTAGTCTTTTGGTGTCTTCTTGGTTTTCAAACTTAACTGTGTGTGTGTGTGTGTTTTTTTTTTTTTTTGCTTAGGGTTTGTTTTCGAAATCAAGAATCTTGTTATTTGAATATGTATCTGTCTTGTGAAAATCTTGGAATGGAGCTACGAAGTCAATAATACTGTTTTCCTTTTCTTTTGGCTAAATTAATCCCAATTCCCAACACCCTGACGAAACAATGATTTTAGTTAATTTCAATTTCCCTGCGTTTTCCTCCGAAGAACGCGTTCATATCGCATTTGATTCCCATTGACGTCCACTGTTCCTTTCGGGCACTAATTTTCAAGGAAGCAGCCACCAATTGTTTCCCTAGTTTCTGGCCGTGGTTACATAATTTCTTTTGGCTAGGATCATTTTATGACAAATTAAAGGAGTTGGGATCAGGATTTGAGCGTAACCAAGTCAAGTTGTGATCTTTCGACCTGTCATTGGCGAATGTTAATGATATTCGCACCACAAGTCTCTGTCCACCTTGCCCTGAGCCTCTGAGCACCCACGCCAGTGGAGTTTCTCCTTTTATCTTGTTAATTACAGCAAGTGAGCTCTTTATGTCTCAAATATTTGTTGGAAATGTGATGTATATTGTCAAGAGAACAATTTTGTGTGACTACCTGTAACTTCTGTAACATGGCTAGAAAATCTTGTAACAAAGGGATTATTCCTTTCAGCAAGTTCTGTTTGTTATAATAGCAATGTTGACTGTTTTTGCAGATTACATGTGATCAAATACGTCTCCTTGCATATGTTAAAGACAACCCGTTGTGGCACAAAAGTTGAAATTTATGCTATCCGTTACCATGACTACTCAACTACAAATGTAAAGCTGAAAAAGCTTTGCAGTGGAAGAGGTTGCAGAAATAATTTCTCTCTCTTTCCTTATGTGACCCGGGGGTAATGGGTAGGATTTTCATGCGTGTGCTTGAAGTGAAGGTCTTATCATTGTTGGCCTTGAATGTGAGAAGAAATAACTCCTAAAAATGCCCGTAAAGCTGTCTTCTTAGGTTGTCTTGTTAAATGCAATTTGGGTTACAATATACAAGCAACTGTGGAGAAATTTTGTAACATTTAAGGTTAACCTTGCATAAAATTGTCCAAATGGTTTTTTTTTTGTTTTTTGGTCGGGAAAACTTTTGAATATATAACAAAAAGATGTAATATGCATGATGATAGATTGTTGTGTGTATTCAAGAGGTTAAGCATCTCAAATACTATATCACACTAGATAAGCAGTTCTTTATGTCATGGAATTATATGTTGATAAGTTTAGCCATATTATCTTCTATTTAATTATATGTGCCATATTGATATTGTTGGATAATACTCCAGATGGAAGATGCCTCCATTTGCCATGAACAAGTGCCAGATGGTGATTGCATTGAGAATCAGAAAGAAGGTGGTGCAATAACTGAATTAGATGGTCAAAATGGGTTTTCTGAAGGAAGAAAGGAATTTGTTGCACCTGCTGTTGGGATGGAGTTTGAGTCCTACGATGATGCGTACAATTATTATATCTGCTATGCCAAGGAGGTGGGATTTCGTGTAAGGGTGAAGAATTCATGGTTCAAGCGAAATAGCAGAGAAAAGTATGGTGCAGTGCTGTGCTGTAGCAGTCAGGGTTTTAAAAGAATGAAAGATGTTAACCATTTAAGAAAGGAAACAAGAACTGGTTGCCCTGCAATGATAAGGATGAGGTTAGTGGACTCTCAGAGATGGAGGGTACTTGAGGTTACACTTGAACATAACCACCTTTTAGGTGCTAAGTTATACAGATCAATTAAGAAGATGGGAGTTGGAGCCAAACAGAAGCAACTACCTGGTTCTGATGACGAAGTTCGAACAATCAAGTTATACCGGGCACTTGTGATAGATGCAGCAGGTGATGTTAATGCAAACTCCAGTACTATAGAATTCAGGACTTCTTCAGAATCTTCCAGTAAGTTGAACCTTAAAAAAGGTGACACACAGGCCATTTATAACTACTTTTGTCGCATGCAACTGACCAATCCAAATTTCTTTTACTTGATGGATTTTAATGATGAAGGACTGTTGAGAAATGTATTTTGGGCTGATGCAAGGTCTAGGGCTGCGTGTGGCTATTTTGGTGATGTTATTTATTTGGACAACTCATATTTGTCAAACAAATATGAAATCCCTCTTGTGGCATTTGTTGGAATTAATCACCATGGTCAATCAGTGTTATTGGGCTGTGGTCTACTCGCTGGTGAAACATTAGAATCATATATATGGTTATTCAGAACATGGGTGACATGCATGTCAGGATCTCCTCCCCAAACTATTATCACTGATAGGTGCAAGGCCTTGCAGAATGCGATTGCAGAAGTTTTTCCAAGAACTTGTCATTGTTTTGGCTTGTCACTAATCATGAAAAGAGTACCAGAGAAGCTTGGAGGGTTACGTAATTATGATGCAATTAGGAAAGCACTGAGTAAAGCTGTTTATGAGACGTTGAAAGTAATTGAGTTTGAAGCAGCGTGGGGATTTATGATCCAGCGATTTGGAGTTTGTGATCATGAGTGGCTTCGTTCTATCTATGAAGACAGAGTTCATTGGGCTCCAGTATTCTTGAAGGACAAATTTTTTGCTGGAATGTCTGCAGCAAGTCCTGGTGAGACCTTGAGTCCTTTTTTTGAGAAATATGTGCACAAACAGACTCCTTTGAAGGAGTTTCTTGACAAGTATGAATTAGCTCTTCATAAGAAGCACAAGGAAGAATCCGCTGCCGACATGGACTCGAGAGGCTCTACTCCCTTGCTGAAAACAAGATGTTCTTTTGAATTTCAGTTATCTAGAATGTTCACACGAGAAATATTCATGAAGTTCCAATATGAAGTTGAAGAAATGTATTCTTGTTTCAGTACCACACAGTTACACGTGGATGGCGCAATTATAATTTTCTTAGTCAAGGATCGTGTTTTAAGTGAAGGAAATAGAAGGGAGATCAAGGATTTTGAAGTCTTGTACAACAGGACTGCCGGTGAAGTTCGCTGCATCTGTAGCTGCTTTAACTTCAACGGGTATTTATGTAGGCATGCACTGTGCGTGCTCAATTTTAATGGGGTGGAGGAGATACCTTCCAGATACATTCTTTCCAGATGGAAAAAAGATTACAAGCGCCTACATGTTCCTGATCATAGCTCTGGTATTGTCGATGAGACCGATCGTATTCAATGGTTTAGTCAGTTATTTAGAAGCTCCTTGCAAGTTGTGGAAGAAGGGGCAATTTCTCTAGACCACTATAATGTAGCCTTGCATGCTTTTCAGGATTCTTTGAATAGGATACATGATGTAGAACAGAGACACGAGTAAACTTCAATGTGTAACTGTAACATACTAGATAGATAAATGAATCATGTTTATGCCCGGTACTTCTGTATATTTCTGTGCCTGCTTTTTGCCGAGCGCTATTTAGATTATTTGTAGAATGTCCATAAGTGTATATATTAAGAGATTGTTTTGACCCTTGTATTTGTATCTTATCTGATTACATTCTTCTGTCATTGATCAGTGAAATCTCCTGATGCTATCCTGCTTGGCTATAAATCATTATTTTTTAATGTTGCAAACGCAGTAGTTTTAGCATGTGCTAACAAGAATGGGCCCAAAAAAATTGTCAATTTAATAAGGGTGAAAAGCTTTCAGGTACTAATTAAAATTGACATAAATGGTGAGAGTTATCTTTATCTAAACAAGTGATTGAAAGTTCAAATCTCAACTCTTATATTTTTAATAATTTAGTTGGCAAATGTCTATTTTTTGGTCTCAATACTTTGAAAGACTTTTACTATTAACAGAGTCTATTCCTTATGGTTAAAAAAAAAAAAATCAAGTAATTCTAAACATTTGATTCTGTCTGCATTTTGTCTCTTTCTTTTTGATAAGATCTGCATTCTATTCCTATTACTATATAAAATCTATGAAAAATCACTATAAGTCGATTATCTAATCCCATACAATACATATGACAACATGTTTAATTGCTACAACAAAAAGAAGGATCTCTCCCCTTCCCAGCTCATTAGAGTTAAAGGGCAACTTAACTCGCCTGTATTATATCTGTAAGAGGCGAGAGAGACCGACATGTAAAAAACTGAATGCAAAGAGGTTGGCTGCGCGTATGAGCAATTAATCAACCTGAGGGATCATTGTTCTCTTGAATAAATCCATAAACCAATAAAGATCAGGAGAATATATTAGATCCATGGCTTTACATGACGCGTAAAAATCTTTCAGGTGTTTTATTGAAACCATGAATACAATAGACTTCCTGTGTACAAAAATAAGTTATTGGTCAAAACGAAGTTAAAATAGGATTAATTCTATACTATAAACAAGTAATACAAAATCAGATATTTAACATCAACAATTGTCATGAACCACATTATCAATAGCTAAAAGCTACTTGAGGGTCTACCTAACCCTTAAAAAACCTGAATCTAAAATTCCATTTTCACAAGTGCATTCGAAACATCCATAGGTAGTGATTCATACTGGAACCAATCCCGGGCACAAATAAGGGCCTCAAGCGTCATAGAGCCTAATGAGCTCCGGAAGCAATTCACTTTTCTAAGTTGTGTGTCAAAAACAGAATCTGCGGAGAGTGTGGAGATAGGTATAGACAAAATATCAGATGCCATTCTTGACAAAGTTGGATACTTCAATCTGTTTAGTCTCCACCAGCTCAGTATGTCAAATTCTTCTGTATTGGGCAGCAGGGGATCTTCCAAATACTGTTCCAATTCTGACTTCATTTGTTGATTACATGAAAAATCAGAGATATAAATGTCAAAATCTGACAGCCCATCTTCCGCATCAAGAAGAGATCCATCAAAAGACTGGTCTTGACATGAATCAGTCCTGATCATACCTTCATTTCCTTCATCCCCATTTGATGTTGTAAAAGGAAGCACTTGCACAACATATTCAAGAAAGAGCTCCCGAAGACCATCCTCAACGATTCTAATCCATGGCTCAGAATTCTCGCCAAAGATTTTAGCAAAGGTAAATTCCACTAGCTTCAGTTTATACCTTGGGTCCATGGCTACAGCAACTGCCAAGACAAGGCAGCTTTCTCTCCAATACTGATCAAACTTCTCTTGCAGAGGCTTAATCAAATTACTGAGGAACGGATCCTGGCTAATGGCAGCATGAGTCAACTCCAACTGAAGTTTTGACACTTCATGGAAGAATAAGTTAGCAGTTGGAAATGGTAGGGTAGTTAAAATATTGGCTGCATCAAACAAATACTTCAAATTTGTGCATAGAGTTTCTATTTGCTTCCATTCACCCATTGACAGAGTCATTCTGAAATCAGGATCAGAAGTATCAAAGCAAGCAAAGACTTCCTTTAATTCACAGGCAGAAACGAGCATATGGTAAGTTGTGTCCCATTTCGTTTTATCATCAATTAAAAGATCCTTCCTACTGGGGACTTGAAGCTGTTGTTTGAGTTCAAGAAACTTCTCTTCATGAGACTCTGACGTTTTTACATATTTCACACACTCACGAACTTTACCAATGGTTTCTCTCATGGCCCATAGTGCATGTAGTGCAAGGCGACTAAGAACACGAGCATAACAATTACAGCTTAATAACTGACCATTGAGGATCACAGGGTTCTTCACAGAAAGGAGGCCTCTAAGACTTCCCATTGCAGTCTCATTTGAGAAGGATTGATCAAGAGCAAGGGTAAATAGCCGTCCTTCTAAGTGCCAATCAGTTAGGCAAGTCAAAATAGAATGACCTATGGAATCATCAGAATCAGGAAATGGTACCATAATAACACTCAGAATTGGTCGATGTAAATTCCAATCAGCATCAATGAAGTGGCCTCGAAGAAAAATGTAACCAACTGTCTGGTTTGAAGTCCACAAGTCTATGGTCAGGTTGACTCGTCCAGGAATCCCATCAATAAGATTTAAAAGATTATTCTTCTCTCTCAGGTAGATGCCAACACAATCTTCTTGAAGAGCATTTAAGCTTGGTACATTGAACTGAGGTTGAAGACTATGTACAAAGTCAATGAAACCCTGGTGTTCCACAATATGAAGAGGATAATCATGCAAGATTATCATCTTAGTAATATCATGGTTGCTTCGGTCCTGATCAAATGATGTTCCAGCAAACCCTGGTGTTGCTCTAGCACGTTTTCTTGGTGGATCAATTATATCTCCAGAACCACTAGTCTTGGGATATAGGCTTCGCTGATTGTTCTGGCGACTTACTGGACAAATTCCCAAGGCAATATGCCGCTTTAAATGGCTCGTGCCAGCTACTTTAGACCCAGTTATGTAAGCAAATGATTTTTTGCACTGTTTACAGTAAGCTCTAGTACATCCAGCTCCAACGGTTTCCACAGTGAAGTGTTCCCATACCATAGATTTCTTCCTCCGACACTTACCTGCTTGTGTTTCTGGATCAGGTTGCTCATTATCATCAACTGGGGTTAGAACAGTGCCAATCTCCATGAGAGCAGGTATCTTCCTACAAAAGGGAAAGGAATGTTAAAAATAAAAAAATAAAAACAATCAATAGGTAGCTTAGCCAAGCAGGCTAATTGAAGAAATCAATTATAAATGTCCTAAAGGAATTCAAAATCAGACAACAAAAATTTATTATCATTTCTTATGAAAGCGAATCACATCCTAAAACATAAAAGGTTTAGTTATTCAAGGTGAGAGATATTTCTTACAGCAATTAGCAGAGATGACCTGACAGAAAACCTTTAGACAGTTCAATTTCTAATTGAAGCAAATTACATTCCAAAACACGATGATCTTGCTACCCATGATTAGAGATATTTCTTGCCTCCAGTTGTAGAGATAACCTAACTGGTAATCTTTAGGCAAAGTTCAACACTTAAATTGTTTCATCAATCATTAACTCTCCACAATTCAGTATCTAGGTCAATAATTTACAAACTTGCAGATCCCAGCAACTATTAATTGTCATTAGATTTCTGCACGCCATGCAATGATTATTCAACTTTTGCTAAATATTAAAAGTCTAACAGGCCATTTAAAATTGTATCAAGGCATCATATTGATAGTTAAGAAATACATACTTATTAGATGCATAATAAAATATTGTGCATACAAAAATGAACTTGGAAACATTTCAATTACATACATAAACATTCAAACCATATTCAGATCTTAAGGGAATATTAGTAGGCAATAGAATTACAACAACTCACATTAATAACGGCTGTATAAACAAGAACTAGAAGATCACAGAAAAAAGATCTTACAGGAGGAAAGTCCCTCATTCTTGTTTTAGCCCAACAAATTGATACAGACTACCTTTCATGAGAGGTAAGAAAAAACAGGGGCGAGGAATCTGGAAGGAAAAAATATGGATAGCCATTAATTGGTTGCTTGCAATCTTGCATATTGTTTAGCAGTTCTATGACAAGGTAATACAACTTAATCCTCATTAACGTTTGCATCCTTGTTGAAGCCCTATAATCTATCAAATCATCTTAGTCACTTAGATGAGATTCTGTTTCCTTTTCTTGACTTTAAACCATTAAAAGGAATCTTTCTATCCATGAATGTGGAACAAAAACTAAAACAACATCATAAATATGGCACAAATCAGACAATATCATCTTAGTCACTTATATTGTTTAGTAGTTCTATGACAAAGTAACACAAATTAAACCTCATTAATGTTTGCATCCTTGCTGAAGCCCTATAATCTGTAAATCATCTTAGTCACTTAGATGAGATTCCGTTTCCTTTTCTTGAATTTAAACCATTAAAAGGAATATTTCTATCCATGAACATGGCACGAAATCAAACAATATCTGTGGACACTCGCCGTATCCAATGGAGTCTTACATTGGATAGCCACAACTAATTCTCGTGGCACTTAAGAAACGTGGTTCTTTCCCCTTCCAAGCTCATTTCTAAGAATGGATCCTCATGCTTGCTTAGTTCTCCACCAATTAGTACCAAAGATAGATCGAATTCTATGAAAGCCCTTAACAGACAATTTTTAAAAATGAGTTCCCCGTGCTTATGTCTTCATCAATATCTTATGGTATCAAAAGTACAATGGAATAACTAGTTTCCACCTTCCTTCTATATTGCTTCTTCACGAAACATGAAAATATCAATCATATCATTTCATAAAGTTGGGCACTGGTACCATGGTTAATAATAGAAAAATTATATTATGAATAAAAAATGGTTCTCAAATTATTCATATCAACAAGATAAAATACTTATGCATACATCTTTATGTTGAAAATCTTCCTTCCCTTTGGTCTTCCTCACCATCCATTCCCAACTTGTAACACCTTCAGTGCTTCCCAACAGTTTCAGTCCTCAATCCATCAGCACTTCATCATTCATGCTACCAAAGAAAGGTAAACTCCAAAAATTGCTTATATATAAAACTACAATTGTTTCTTCAAGTTCCAAATGGCCTTAAAAATGGGAGAAAAACCAAACCTAAAAAAAAAAAAAACATCAGGGCCACAATCAAAGGACTACCATCAAGTACCTTAGGCCTGGCCCATGGGTCATATATCAACATTTTATTGTTGGATTTTTATTTTTTTTTCCCTTTGATAAAATTTTACTTGATGAGATTTTTCCGTCTACTGATATGGCCAGTTCAACCGAAAGGGTAACAAGAGTCCGGCTCCTTCATGGAGCTGTATCTATATTTGACACTTGTCACAGAACTCGTGACACCTCAAAGAATAAAATATAGCACATAATGTAAAACCTACAGCGAGCTGAGGCAGTAGGGTAGGTTGAGATTTGGACAGAAGCTCTAGAGGCTTATTTCCCGGTAACATCTTTTAACACACTGAGCCTGTTATAAGAGTAAATGACTCATTTGCACATTTTACATTTATATTTGTCTGTGTCTATACACACAAACAAACACGTGTTTATGCACGCCACCCATTGTCCTTCATACATGAATTTTTACACGTGCTCAAGTTTATGCCCCATAGTTGGAACAAATATTCCAGCTTCAATACCGCATCAAACGCAGGAATAACCACTACCCCAGAATCATTAATGGGATGCAACGATCATTCTACATCCTCCTCCTTCATAGGTATATAGTGTTGTAACTAATGTCGCACAAAGCCTAATTCTTTTAAAAGATCAAGATGGTTATTTATCAATCATAACCAGTAATAAGATAAGTTTTGATAAAAAAAAACATGGAACGTTCGAAATACTAATAGCCACTATTTCTTGAATTTACAAAGACCAGAACCAATCCATAATTCACCCAAAAAACAAAAAACTCACATAAATGACGACAAATCATGTACAACCTTCAAGTCAAAATCAATTTCGTAACCGTTACAATAACACAGGAAGAAATAGGGATATGAGCGAACGGATTTCATAATTAACTGGGAAGGAGGGCCGGGAAGGGAGGGGGGAAAAACCTTGAAGACGCCGGAGTTCTAGGACCACATGTTACCGCCAGGGCATGCGACGGCGTCAGCAGCCGAGAGAGTGGTGAAAGAAGAGGTTTATGGTTTAGGATCCGCCGAAGAATTTGGAGTATAGAAGACGAAGAAGATCGCTAGCGAAAGTAGTCCGAACAGAAGCCAGTTAAGGGTTTGAAAAGTAAATTGAAAATGATTCTTTAAAGTTTAACCAGCCTTGAAATTTATAAAATTAAAAAAAAAAAATAACAACACCATATCAGACTCATTTCTTGCAAACTGCAATAATCAATCATAATATTTAAAGCGTGACATAATTTTTTTTAAATTTTACGTAACATATGAATAAACATGTTTAATGACAAACACAAATTTGGATTATAAATGAAAGTACCAGATAAAATAAAATAATTGAATTGGCTTTTGTTCTAGTCCTAATTTCTTGAATATGACCTGATTAGAAAATTATTAGCATCATAGAATTAGTAGGGGGCGGCAAGGATTAGTTATTAATTGATATTCATACAAATAAAGTTATTCATATGACTCAATTCAAAGTGGTTATGAAATTACAAGCCATCATTCTAGTAACTAGTAATAGCAGATGTCGTTATCGCCAATAATCAAAGTAATAAAGGACTCAATTAAAAAGTTACAGAAAAGGAAAAAAAAAAAACAAATGAGACAGACGATGACATTGACACTCACAAACAAAACAAAATAAAAAAGAATAGAAACAGGGAATTAGGGATCTTTTTGGAATCAAGTCCTGAGTTTGGCATTTTTTTCCACAATTTTCTTGAACTGCTATATGCCCAAATGAGAGCGTGATGAGAAAGGGCGAGAGAGATTAAGCATGAAAAGTTCAAGAAAGCTGTGGAAAAGCATGACAGGACTTGGGAGCTGTTCTGTATGAATGCTGACCAGTACAAGTATGTGTGTATGTGTATATATATGTACACACACTCTCCACCCACACAAAATCAAGTGAAATTTATAAGATATTTGTTAAAGTATAATAAAAAAGTCCCATATCTTAAATTAATAGAAAAGGATGAGGGGATACAAAGGCACATAGTAAATACTACCTCAAGTAACTTAAGTTATTTTAATATAATGGATATAATTTTTTTTTTTTACATATATTACTACCCTCACAACTAAAAAATGTAAGGTATTTTATGATGAGTTGAATGGTTAAAAATATAATATATTTTTAATTTTTAAGATATAATCATTGTCTTTTTATATAAATATTCTTATTAAATAAATTACTTTATATTTACTTTATAGTAAAACACTATATTAAATAAGGGTAAATATAAGAGATATAGTTAATTTAAAGACAAATAGTTATTTTATTGAGGGATAAAATTTGATTAAAAATATTTTATATTTTTTAATAGAGGAAGTAAGTCACATTTAAATACATGATCAAACTCAATTGAAAATAATATTTTGAAAGGCGTTTTCTGTATTCACATTACTAATGGCCTATACCAACCTTGCAGTCTAGTGCCAACACTTTTTAAATTATGATTGATAGTTCTTGGTACAATCATATGCCAAACTTATCTATATTAACTATTTGGTCATTCAATAAACTTATGATATCTTTTTTATTTTCTGGAGATTTATAGTGTAGTCATATTTCATTAATAAAATTAAAACACCTTTAAAAACTTGTAATTGATTAGAGATACAAACTGATATTAAAAGGAGGGTCAGGAATAGGTCTGAGAACTGAAGGACACAGTGTACAGTCAGGTGAGTTAATTCACAAGTTTAATGAAATATCAACTGCACATTTAACAGTTAGCCACGCTTTTCTTGTGAGCATGAGCAGGTGAGAAATAACAATTATATCACCTCCAACAACAACACAATAAAGAACAATCAAGAGAATGATAGGTTACTTGAGGGGAAAAAAATCAGTGTCCTTGCTTTTAAATTGATGCTTGGGTGGAGAACTTGTTTGAATTTGTTCTGTATTTATATGTTCTTAAAACAGATTTGTAGAATTATGTTTTGGAAATTAAAAAAATAGAACAATCTTGTAAGAATCATTATTTTTTTTTCCCAAAATCATATCTGAGGAAAAAAAACTTAAATGCAAACTATGTTAGAATTATAGGCATAATATCAAGTGGGTGTAGCATAGATAATAGTAGTTTGTGTCCCTTAAACATCATTCCAAGATTTAATTCATGGAGGTGTGCATGAAAAAGCATCTCTTAACAGAGGAGAACCTCTTAAACAATGTTTAAATTTCTTGAGGAATTAGTCTTTTTTTTTTTTTTGAGGAAAAAGCAAATTAAATCTAAAAACAAGATCCTCATGTTGATAATAGGATTTAATATTATGACCTTGTGCGTTATGAGTCAAATTCTTAATGATTAGACTAAACTTTGTTGATAATTGAGTGTTAGTTAATCTTACAGCATAAACTAGCATACAGATCGTTTTTTCCCCGTAACCCATTGAAAATTCTGGCTCGGGATACAATTGCTGAAATTTCTATATTTCAATAATACGGATGGACTAAAGTAAATTATACAGATACAAAAACAGAGCACAATATATACAGAAGTGAAGCATCAATTTAAAATGGAAAAAAAAAATGCCGAGGGAACATTGAAATAATTGGTGCAGAATGGTACACAGCATATTCAAGACAAATATCAATTCAAAGATGTCACATTGATGATTCCAGCTCCTGCATCACATTGCAACAAACTTTGAGCTCCAAATCTTTGGTTAATCTATCAGTCACCGCCACCAAACATTCCCAT